GGGGGGGGGGGGGGGGGGGGGGGGGGGGGGGGGGGGGCGAGGGGCTAAGTAGGAACTTGGGAACCGCCCCCCCTATAAAAAATGTTTTATCGGCCCCTGTACTACGGAGGGCGAGAGCGATCCAATGACTTTGCAATGTTGGCTCAACGTTCCGCCAGTGTTGATCTTCAACGTTATCAGAGTATTGCGATAAGCGACATTGAAATATTGACTTAATGATAAGGTGCAGCGCCACCACTGCGGTGGGAAGGTTCGAAACTAACCTTCATGCTACGCTGATTGCATATTCGTTCGTTTGCTTGAAATCTTGAATCTCTTCTCAACATTTCGTGCATTTTACTCCATCGGTATTTTACTCCATCGGTATTTTACTCCGTCGGTATTTTACTCCATCGGTATTTTACTCCGTCGGTATTTTACTTCTTGTACATATACACGACCAAATATACATTTCAGCCTTTAAATTCGCATTTATTCCAATCGACTGCGGTTTCCACAATCACATTCTGGTGGACAACGTCAGAAACGCCTCATGAACGAATTTATGGGGGGGGGGGGCAACTGCTGCCCCTCCTGCCCCCTCCTGCCCCCCTCCTGTACGAAAATTTAGAAAAATCAGAACTCATGTTCCGGGAATTTCCGTCCGACGCGAAAACCGAACTGATTCCAGCGCACTCCCGAATAAAAAAAATTGCGTGCAGGGAAGAAATCTGCTTCAAGGAAAAATAAGAGGGAAGTCGGAAGGATTCCCCGTAAATAAAATACATCGACGCAAATAAGAAATGTGGGATCCATCGACGTCGCTCCTGGCGCCCTCCATCGGATCATCATCATTTAATTGGATATATATTAATTTAATTTGATATTTAATTGTATATTATTTGAATTTTCTTTGTAATCTTCGGCGATTGGGTGGCACAGCACATGCCCTCCCGACGGTCTCTCGTAGACGTTTCGAATACGCTCGATGCAATTTTCACCGATTGACTGGCACTGATGAGTTGCGACATCTGTACCTTCAGCCGATCAAAAACAGAGTGGAAGCTTCTCATTGCTTCCACGAGATGTCGCAGACGACGGTAAAATGTCATGGACGCACCCGTGCGGTGGCAACCAAATGCGTTCCCTTCTCAATGGCAGTGGCACGTGTCTGCCAAAGTTTCTCCCCACGAAGGCCATGGTGGTCGACCTGACATGTTTCTGTAATCCATAGACTCTCGTATACTTTCATTAAATTGGTCGAAGCGGAGCGGTGGACTGATCTGGCCTAGTTTTGATCAGTTGTAGGCTATGCTTAACCATTGGCTATCGTTAAGCGCGACTTTACTCAACATTAGGGCTTAACCTGGTCAAACCTAAGCCTTGGTTTACCTCAACGTTTGGCCAATGCTTGGTGCATGTTGCTTCTTTCTGTGGCCTTTGGCTATTGGTAAATAACTGTCTAGAACACTCATTGCCATCAAGAATGTGTAATTGTCTTGATTGAGTTATTTGTTCCCTCTAGACCCCAACTTTTTTACTTTTGTTCTATTCTCTAGTTAATATTTTAATGAGTTACAGGTGGATGTCTTGCTTTCATACTTCTCTTGAATGTCTTTATCCTGTTGCTCTCTTTAATTCCCAACTGCAGACAACTACAGCATCAATTCTTTTCATAAAATTCATTCTTTCAATCAGGACCAATGACCTAGTGATTGATCCCCTATCTGCAAATATTGTATATCTGATCTATTAGCTTCATTAAGAATGAAAGTAATATGGTTGATTTGACAGTCTGTAAGGCATACCAACATTTTCTCATAACATTTCATTTAAGTTTAGTGGATTAGGCCTAATAGGTGTAAGGCACAACTTATTTATTATATCTTCATTCCTTTACTTAAGTGGGTGAGCCTAGATATCTCAAGTGAAGATGGAAGATATAATTGCAAACGTCGAAGAGATCCGATTTGGGATCGAACACGCCCTGGAGACTCAGGTTGGGGCACAGCCACTCCCTTTCCCCGGAATGGACAGTGAGTGCCTCTGTCTTTTGTCTCTTTTCCACTTTGCCTTGTATCGGCTTTATTCTAGCTCATCCTAATCATCACGTTATGTTTTCTTTTGTGCATTTACAGAATCCACATCAGCGGTGTGTACGTTCTATGACCGGGGGATGTGTAACAAGGGCCAGGCGTGTCCGTTCCGTCACCTGACCGGAGACCGCACCGTCGTCTGCAAGCACTGGCTTCGCGGCCTCTGCAAAAAGGGCGACCAGTGCGAATTCCTCCACGAATTTGACATGACCAAAATGCCTGAATGCTATTTTTACTCCAAGTTCAGTAAGTTGTTGCAGTGGTTAGGAAGTAAGATCTTGTTTACTTGAATTTTGTCACACACTTTCAAGGGTGTATGTGTTATCCTAGATGCATGTCACAACAAGGACTGTCCATTTCTCCACATTGACCCCGAGAGCAAAGTTAAGGACTGTCCATGGTACGATCGGGGATTCTGTCGCCACGGACCCAACTGCCGGCACCGACACACTCGACGTGTTATGTGTTTCAACTACCTCGCTGGATTTTGTCCTGATGGACCCAGCTGTAAATACAAGCAGTGAGTTCTTACTTATTTGGATGATAAGTACATAACTTTAAATTCTGTAATTAGGAAAGCTTATGTGGTTCTTCAAGCACAATATTGTGCTTAACATTCTACCTATAGTCATGAAGGAAAGTTCAAAATGTTCTCTGAAATATGGTATTTGTTGTATTCTACAATATTAAATTGGTCCCTAATTTGTTCCAGTCCACGTTTTGAACTCCCGCTTGTGCCAGATGATCCAGCTCAGGCTCGAATGAAGAAGCTTCTCTATAATTGTCACTATTGTGGTGAGAGTGGCCATAAGATATATCAATGCTTTAAGCTCCCTCCTGAGATTCGTGAGGCTCAGACCAGAGCCTACAACGAGGTCTGTCATGTTTTCCATTCGTTATTGGTTTTTATTGGTCATATTGTGTTGACTGCAATCAGGAATTTTTTTTGAACAGCTAATGAACAAGTATACCAATATGACAGAGCAACCAAAGGGACCAAGCAGACCATTGGAGGAAGTTACCTGCTTTAAGGTTTGTCATCATCATTGGTTGTTTAGCTAAAGGAGATTTTTTTCCAACATTGAGAAATATGTGTGGATCTATTGCAGTGCGGTGGGAAGGGGCATTATGCCAACAAGTGTCCCAAAGGTCATCTTGCTTTCCTCAGCAGCGACTTACAGCGGATGCATGAACTCAACAAGGGTTGAACCTTGTGAAAATTCACTCTACCTCTGTGATCTCATCTCCTGGATGGACATGAGCCCCATGTCTTGGGTTTCCCCCATTTTTTTAATCTCTTTATGTTTGTAGAGTTCTTGTCGGAATGAAATGTTGATCTGTTTCAAGGCCTGTACAGTGGCCATGAAGTAGGAATTTTTAGATTATTTGACTACCTGAAGGGATGACCAGAATAGACAGTGATGTAACAAGGTAGATGAGCAAAATTCCTTAACCCTTTCACTGCTGAGGACTTTTTCCCCATCCAACATCTCCTTGCCTAGCATGGAAGTGGAGGTTCATCAAGCTGAACATGCCATATGGCGTGAATGGCAGCGAAAGGGTTAATTAGCCTCCCTGTAGTGACTGTCAAGGACAGGATAAGCAGCAGTTGGAAAAGGGTTCATGACATACTAGACATTTCCAGATCATGTGGCTTGAGGTCAGCCAACATCTGTGTTTGTGGCTACCATATACTGATTCCCTGACCCAGGCTGAACATATGTATTTGGTTGAGATCCAGAAGGCTGGTAGTTGATTATGTATTTCCTGCAGTGAAGTGCTTTTGAATCAATGATATGAATCTAACCTGAAGCTTGAATTTTGCCAAAAATGTACCTATCCAGTTTTTATCTATATCTATCTGCCTACCAGTATTCAGAGTTATCAAACTAATATTTTAAGAGTTATTTTTATGCTGCAAAAGTGGCTCATAAACAGGATAGGGCTATAAGTGGCTCATGCCTTATTGAAAAAGTCTCCTTTCGAGGAAGATGAGGCTCTCTATTAATTCTGTTGCTCCTGGGCATGGGAGAGTTGATGCATTGCACATTTCGTGGACTAAGAGTCGGAGATTGGCCAAGTTTTCTCTGATTATCTTTGAAGAACCTCTTTTTCATGGTATATGCAGAGTAGAAAGCTCAAAGCTCAGAGAATGAATTTAAAACTACAATGGGGCATGGCAGTGGCTTAAATTTCCTTCCAAATAGCAAGGTATTTAAAGATACCCTAATAGTTGTGTCAAGTTTCCACCTTCCACGTCTGTTTTGGAATTAAATCATGACTCACATTTAACTAAATTTATTGTAGAATTCAAGATGGGTTGGCCTACTGCATGAATCCAAAGTATTTTCTTATACCAACTTTGCAAACACACTTGTAAACATACCCTTTGACTGGCATGCCCCTAAATTTTACAGGCTCCTGTACAACAGGCGTCAGCAAAACTTGCTGGTCTGAGGGTTAACTGTTCTCTGTGTTCAACCTGTTTGTTCCAATGTGATGTATATATGCAAAAGGAAATAGAAATAGGAAAACCTAATATGAGGAGGAATACAGTCGATGCAGGCTCATCAGTTTGGGAAGTCAAATGTCCTAAGACAGTTTTTATTCAAGCCAGCTTGCAGGCCCCCATGCCACCACGATTCCAAACCCTTGTATCTTTCCTTGCGTCCTTCCCATTTCCAATCGACACAAACTTCCTTGTCCGTCATGGATGGACTAGACCAGATGCATTGGAGTGGCTCACACATCTAGTGGCAAAGAAGAGAGTGCAGTTGCTCAGATGCCAGTGAATGTATCTGACAAGATTTGTGCCTGGATGGAATCTCCTTCAGTTCTTGGGCACATGCCAAAGGCAAACATGAGAAATAGTGGACTTTCACAGACCTTTCCATTTACTATCAAACATCATGGAGTTGTTCTCAAGCACATGTAATTGCTTTGGGGGAAAGAGCTTCAGGGCACCAAGACTCAACTCCCTCGAGTGCAACCATTAGAGCTTGAGATATTCCCTTTGATCAATTTTGCAAGAGTGGTCTCTTCCGTCTGTGACTTGGATATTTCAGTGGTTTTCTATTGAGAAGCTTTGCTTCCTTTCTTCGCTTCAGATTCTCTGACCAGACAAGTTCATTTCCAGTCTCAAATTTCCTTAAATTTACCAAAGAGGATAGGAGCAATTCCCCTCTGGCATTCCCATTTTATTGGGGGCATGTGAAAGGTTGATCTTGATCTCTCATGTTTCTTAAAGTCTTTGTATTGCTGAATACAATACATAATTGTCCGTCCCTTGCTCCGTTAGCGGTTTAAGAAAAACAAGAGTCTGAAAAATTTGAGAAATCGAAAAATGTATAGCCAAAAAGGCAACACCAAGGAGCAGACCGATCCCGAAGAAATTCAGTGCATTATCTCGTAGCGTTCTTATGAAACCGATTAGAGTTTATTGGGCGTAGGATGAAGATTAATGAAGAAAACTTGCGGAACTTTCCAATTTAAGGTGGAGAAAGTCTTATTGACCGCCCAAAGCTAGACTAATTATAAACCTCTCAGACTCCTTATGATAGGTGAAACAAACGCATAATAATGCACAGAAAAAGTCAGCAAAGGTCAAGGGATGAATCTTTCTGGAGAAAACTTGCCGTATGTTCGAGAAGCAGATGACAACGTGTATTTCCCTTTCCCCCTATTTCTCGCTGATGCATCTCAATCTGCATGCATGCATCTCAATTTACGTCCATCAATGAGCCAATTTGCGGCTTTTGTTAGCGTTCGGCCCTTGTGCCGGCAGTACTGTCAAGTACCCTCAAGTAGGATGCGTACTATACAGGACTACGCCAGTAATGGATATGTAATGGCTAAAGCCCAGCTCAAGTTGGGTAGTTTAAATATTTCGCTTCGATCACTTTCCCATCTGAATCTGAATGAGTTATGAGTGTTCAAATTCATTGCTTCAAATTGTTGAGCAAAATTTTGTTTTTTTACTTGTTGAATTTTTAAAATATTGCATGAGTACAATATTTAAAAATTCAACGACTGGACACCTTTTTCTATTAATAACAAAAAATAAATTAATTTAATTTAAAAAAATTCCTGACCGTTAACCACTTAGTTGAAAAATTAAATAGTTCCTCGCCGTGACGGCGTTTCTGTTACGGGCCATAGGTACTGAGCTAGTTTTTTCAGAACTGAAAAGTACGAAGTTCTGATTTCAGATGCTGAGCTCTACGACTACACAAGTACTTGAAGTACTTATAAGTACTCCCAATGGAAATTTCCTCGTGATTCCCAGAGAAAAACGTGGATTCCGACAAACGAGATAGCGTCAAATTTCGGCCCCCCCCCCCCCTTGAAACGCACGCCATATCGCCATCATCATCAGCCATTTATGTTCTCTGCTGATCGGTCCATGCATGAGCCATCTCATCCTTTCCTCGACCATTTTACTCGTATTACTTCAGCCATCTTCTTTCCCCCCCCCCCTTTTCCCATTTTTTCCCTTTAGTTTCACTCTTTTTGCCTCTTTTGGTGGTTTCCGCTCGCCCTTTGGAAGCCCAGGACTTTCCCAGCGTGGTTTTTATTCCAACCTCGTGTACTCACCAAAAATATAATATTGCAGCAAATGGAGTCCTGTTCGACATATCAAGCTCAGTCTCATATGAATATATGGAAAATATGCAAAATGCGAAAAGTAATGCAGTCTTCGGCAACACTGCGAGATCCGTCGCTCCTGTGCATTTCAGAACGCTATTCAAACAGAATTCTCCCAAATACTGAAGGAAAACATAAAATATTTCTCGAGAGAAGAAAAATACAAGAAAATAGCTATTCCCTGCAGCACAAAACAGATCACGGCCGAAACTGCAGCACCATTACGCGAATTCCATCAAAACTCGCTTCCTTTCGCAGGGTCGAATGATATGCCTCAACAGTTGAGGGTTCGCAGAGTAAACCCAGACATTCGGGTCAGTCTTGTTTGTCTCCCTCACCGCCCGAGTCATCCTCGTCGCTTCGACTGTCCTCCACCGTCCCCTGTCGAAAAAAAAAACTGCAGTCTCCCATCCCTCGTAATTAAGGGCGATATAAACAGACCTTGCGAAGGAAGGAGAGAATCAGCGCCTTGAGGATGAAATAGGTCCATATGACATGGAGGCAGAGGAGGAGATAGAGGAAGATCAGGAGGATCCAGGTCGGGATGTTCCCCCTCCACCGCCCCGAGTAATAAAACAGCTTCGCCTCCGTCGCCCTGAACCCCCCCATATATTTACTATTATTTATACTATTTACTATTTATACTATTTACAATTATTTATTCCATGTCTACCCCTCGACTTCAACAAATAGTGATCTCACATGAACACGACGTGGACGGGGTAGTAGTAGAGTCGCGTCGAGAGCCAGACGAGCGTGAAGAGGATGTAGACCCCTTGAGCCACCCAGCTTTTCCCCACGTAGACGAGAAGCTTCACAAACTAATGAAAGAAAAATCTTAAACAAAATCGGTCCGGCTCACCAGCAGATCCCCGTTTAATTTCCTGGCTTGTGAGCTTTAGAATCATTGAACCGAGAATCAGAAATTGCTGAAAATTTTCCAAGATATTAATTTATATTTTACCAGATTTTATCAGTATCTCTCCAGGTTCTGTCGCAAAGTTTCAGTCGATTCAGTGAAGCGTTCCCTGAAATCCAGTCGAAAAGACAAAGTTAAAGCAATTTCGATGCATTTCTTCGAACACCCGCTCATAAGCGATCAGGCCGATGCAGCATCGAAGAAATCACTGTCGAGCCGTGATTGAGGCCGTTTTTTGGAATACCGCCGCCGGCCAGCATTGAAAGGAGGCCGTGTCGACGTCACTGTGACTAACGACGTAACGAGGTGAAGAATAAATGTTTCAATTTTGATTCAAGTTCCCTTCGATGATCCGATTGCATTAAACGGAAAACAGTCATTCTACCTTTTTTTAAATATGCACAATCGCTCGATTTCGCCTTGTGAGGAAGAACCCGCTGCACCAAATCGACTGAGACTTTGCACTGAAAATCCTCGAAGACTTGCTTAATATCTGATTTGTTAACCATTTCACCGATTTCTGATTAGCAGTTCAAATTTTATGAAGCATATAAAATCCCAGAGTGTTTACTAGTGTTTACACCAAATAAACAAATAAACAAACTAAATATGCGGACAGGATTGCCTCGCACCCTTGACAACAAATAAGTCAGCCGGCACCCGATCTCTCTGGTATCACCCTCTCGCAATACGAGGCAATAAGAATCAGCTCGAGAGATTAGAGTGACACGGGAGAAACACGACGCTGGCTCCTATCAAATGACATTCGCTGTCTGGCATCTATTCGCGATCCGGTTCCCTCCCGGATGAAGCAAAATTAAAGGATTGGGACACAGAGCTAACCCTAGTAGGAAAATAAGAACTAATTCTCGTTATAATTAATTATCATTAATTATCATTAAATATCATTAGTAAATCACATCCAAAACCGTCATTAGTTTAAAGAACGACAGAACTAGCCTCGAGAAGCGGATCGGCCGCATCATGAAGTATCAGCGTGAGCGACCCCACACGAGTGAGATTGAGGATCCAGGTCCCGGACATGAGAACAATCACGAGGAGGTGGTGGAGGGCGTGCATCCAGAAGTCCTTCCGCCTCACGTCCGTCGCCAGCGTGAGGATGAGGGAGCCGTAGCAGCCGAGTTCCAGCGTGTAGTACCACCACATCTCCGGAGTCAGCGGCTGCCGACGGGGAAGGTCGCCCGATACAATTTTTTCGCTGTCTTATGGAATTATGGAAAAGCGATGAAGACGCAAGAGGTCTCTCAAATATGCGCGCCGATTGCTCATTTGGCTCTGCCGTGCATATTTAGAGGAAGTAGTCGATCCTTCTGATTTCTCGTGTTCCACATCGGCTGAGAACGTTATGTACTTTACATTCGTACCTTATATTTTTTTAAATTCCCATGACAACTACACACACACGTTGTACACACACACACACAACACTACACTACACACACAACCACACACATTACACACAAGAAATACAGTATTAATTAATTTTTTTATAATTAATTTTTATTTTAAGACTTTGCATTCAACAGCGACAAAAAAAAACTCACGTGAAACGGGGCGCCGAGCCAGCAGAGCGAAGAGTCGCGGATCCACGGCTTGTCCCACAAGGCCCAGACCCCGTACCAAAACAGCAAGAAATGCATCACGAACCGGAACCTGGAATGGTACCGATCCGGTACTGACCGAACTCGAAGTACCGACCGAAATGCAAAACCGGTCGCTTACCCGGTTTCGTTGAATTTCTTCAACTTCTCCGTGTTTTTGAATTTCTGGGAGGCTTCGAGGGGCTGGAAAAAAAAGTCAAATTCAGTTCAATTTAATTTTAATTTTCGATTTAGAAATGAATAAATTTGATATCTGCATCACTTCTGACCTTTCATCCAGCCTTTGTCAATATGAAACCAATAGTCCTTTGATATTTGGAAAGGCCATTCGAAAATTCCCAGAACTGGCTCTAGTGAGGATCTTTTACAGGGTGTGCCGAGAAAGGAATTTAACCTTCAAAAAGCGGATTTAAATGCCATAAGTGAACCGTGCCTGGCGGGTTTTATTGACGTCCCTTTAAATACGTTGCCATGGCAACCGCCGTGAATTCCTTCTAAATGAAAGGAAAGGTATTGGTATATCGGAGTCCAAAATAAAGAAGTACGTACTCCATTATTCTTGGGATTGAGGAGATCCCAGTCGCGTGTTAAAGGTCAAATTTATATATATATAAATAAATCCTTCCACGGCACCTGCCGGGATTGGAGATATGAGGGGGGATAAACCACATCCCAGACCTCACACTCGTCTTAATTCTGAAGGACACATATATATATATATACAGAGTGGCCCAAAAGTAGGTATACAGTTGATGATTTATTTAACAGCACTTTACACATGACATGGAATTATGTGAAAGTTATTCCAATGATTTCCAATAATGTTTCAGCACCCTCTTCCATTGGTCATTAGTCAGGTTACCAGTCATTACCACCTACCCTAAAGAAAAAAAAAACAATTTAATAGATTCAACATATACAATTGCATACCTACTTTTGGGCCACCCTGTATATTATTTTTTAAAATTTCTGTTTCAGATAAGAAAAACTAAGGGATAACTAAGGTATATATGGGTTGACGGAGGTGATTTACCTGACAATAATAACTAATAATTGTGGCTGAACCGTTCAGATGCCATTAATATGCGTTCTAAGCTCTGAATTACCTTTTCAGTTACCTTTTTTTTGGCACACCCTGTACTACCCCTCGAGAACGCGTCGGAAAATGTTCCCCGGCCGGTGTTACCTTGTCGGTGAGGCGACCGGACGAGCTTCGTGGGGATTCCCCTCTTCCCGACAGCCTCCAGAGCGGGGTGAACACGCATCTAAGTAAAAAAAAAAAAAATTTTGCAAACATCAAATTGCAAGCGCCAAATTACAAGCATGGAATTGCGAGCGTTTTTTTTTCGGATCGGCAGGATTGCCGATTGACGTCAGCAGGAAATCTCGGGCGGAATGAGCCGAGTTACGCAGGAAACGTAATTAACGGAAATCTCGAGGCTATTTTCCGATGCCTTAATCCTCTTAATCCTCTTAATCTTCGTGGCCTCGACCTTCTCGACGTCTTTTTTCCGGATAAATCTCCTTCATCCGGCACGGAAGCCACAAGAGTGACTCTTCGGGGAAATAAACTTCAGCCAGCTTTCGAAGCCGCGAAATCGAAGTAACGATTGAAAATTTTCCGGGAATCTCATTGAGAGACTCCTGAAGTCTTCCAGAGAGACTCCTGAAGTCTCCTAGAGACTCCTGAAGTCTCCTAGAGAGACTCCTGAAGTCTCCTAGAACACCAGCAAGATTGGTCAGAGTTTGATATTTCCCCACTTTTTCTTAAACGTTGATAAGAACCCAACTTGGGTGATTCCGAGCCAGGAAGTGCTATTCCCTTGCTTGTTTCGTTCCCTTGCTTGTTTCATTCCCTTGCTTGTTTCGTTCCCTTGCTTGTTTCGTTCCCTTGCTTGTTTCATCCCCTTGCTTGTTTCGTTCCCTTGCTTGTTTCGTTCCCTTGCTTGTTTCGTTCCCTTGCTTGTTTCGTTCCCTTGCTTATTTCGTTCCCTTGCTTGTTTCATTCCCTTGCTTGTTTTCGTCCGATTCTTGCTCTGTTTCCAACGGATTTCCCATGTCTGGTTTCGCTTACTTCAGTGCAGCCGAGGCGTCATATTCTTCTCGATGCTTCGAAGCCACGCGATGCGCGGAGACACCCCCGACACTACACTCTCTGCGGCATCATGTCACATTACAGCCTCGCTATCTTTCCTTTTTTATCATCGTTTATCTTTTCCGACTGCTTTTCGCATTCCGAACGATAACCGATAAGCGCTCGCAGTCTAGCAACCCATCATGCCCGGCTTGCAAGTCCTGCGTCAGAGAATAACTCTTGCCGATATGCGCCCCGACGAAATTGCATTCTGAAGCGTTTCTCCACCCATCAAGCGGTGCGCGACAGTATTTATTTTATATATATATAATTTTTATATTATATATATATATATTAATAATTTTTTCACAACTCAAATTTTTTCCATTATTACACTTTTAACCCTTTCACGCCTGAATTAAAAAAAAGGAAGTTACCTCAAATCCACGCAGAGGATAATAATGCGCCAGACGTTCGCCAGACGTTCGCGAGACGTTCGCGAGACGTTCGCCAGACTCGCGCGGATGAAAATGAGGCCGTTCTCATCTTAATCTTAAGGAACCGGTCTGACGAGTCGATGCCGGCGATGGCTCGCGGGCATGGGATCCGACGGGGCTAAACCCTTTTTCCCCCTGGAGCCAACAACGCCTTCGACCGAGAGTGCAAACCTCAATATTTCCGCACGAACGCCCCTTCGCAAAAAAAAAATGGCGGGATGCGCTAAAATCACGCATCCAGAAACTCCGGAAATCGCTCGGGAAAGCATTCGCATTCATCAGCCACATCTTGCAGAGTGACTCTTAGTTTTTTTTTCCCGTTGAAATTTGCATTCGAGAATGCATAAGTACCCCCTGCAGCACGGTTCTGTATAATGTTAAATTTCACCGCTTGAACAGAGTCGAAGTAAAAAAAAAAAAAAAAAAAAAAAAAAAAAAAAAAAA